GAGAAAGCCAGTGACACAGTGTAAGTTCAAGCTGAAGTTATACTTTGACTCACACTATCAAAACTATTGAAATATTGACATAGATAGCAAACAGTGCAGAATGAGCTTATTGAGATAGCTGTATTCAAATATGATGACAATTAGGATGGCTGACATAAGAGAATGCTTCTAGGTGCCAGAAGCCCCAGCGCCATCTCTTTGCTTCAGCTTGTGTATTTGGAACAGTTTGATTTTCCTCACGGTTTAGGGTCACTTATCCTGCAGTACAATCTACAGTCTCTGGCTAATTGACTCCATCTCATTTTGACAGGGAGTGACTTGGACTTAACCTTATTTAACTTAGTTATGTATCAAGCTGCATAGACCAAGTTTGGTTTGGAGGACACCTAGTCCAATTCTTGATCTAAGCATGGCAACTTGTTTGTCTAGTTTTGATGGAGAAGAGGAAAGGGAAAAGAACTCAATTAGAACCATCTTTGTTTTGTGCTGTCACCATGAAATCACAAAATGAAAGATGAGTGCGCTGCTGTTTCCTACCTGAAACTCCTGGGATTTCTATGATCTGTGTTGACTCATATGTATGAAAGGTATACCTGGAACATAGCCACTAAAACTAGTATTTCAGGTAACTGGCTTACTAAGATTGTTAACATACAATTGGGTAAAATCTGAGAGAGGTATTGAAAGATTCAGAGTGGCCAATAAGAAGATAATTTCAGCTCTGCACCAAAGTAGAAGTTTAAAAGCTAGTAGAACCTCACCACTGAAAAGAAAAGCATGCTGGCCTAAGTACAATTAGCGTAGCTATGAGTCTGGGTCCTACTAATTTGCAAATGTCTGTATGACTAGGCAGTTGCTCTGAGAATCAGCCCAGCAAACTCTTTGCAGTCCTGCTTTATGACTGCAATGCTTCTTACAAGTCAGGACTTCAATTTCTGAGTTATACCTCGGGTCCTCATGCTTTTGCGAAATGAGGATGATAGTGTTACTCTGTCAGACTGGTGGTATGCTTGCATACAGTGATAAGGTGTGCTGTTATGTAAGGGTATAAAAACACACCTACACTGTGGCAGGTGGCAGGGTACTCCCAGATGATTGTTAATCATATGTTTTCCAGATAGGTTACCATTCTGAAGTGTCTGTCCAGTAAATAGCAGCTGACAGTGACTAAATGCTAGCATACATGTATATAAAAGCAGAGAGAGATTGATTTCTTTTTAGAACATGTGTTATTCAACATCACACATTCCTAAGGGGAAGAAATTAAAGCACAGCTGGGCTTACAAAGTACAAAATGCATGGAACGTGCAGGATAGTGCACCTAATTCCTGATAAAAATAGAATAATTGTGTGATAGAAAATGAGCAGAAAACTAATTTTAATCCCAAGGGAACTAGGTTGGACAGAGGTAAAAAAGCAGGGGGAAAACATATATAAAATATTTTAAAACATTGAAATGCATGTAGTAGAATGCATATGCATACACAGTTTTCCTTCTGTAAAGAAGAACTGTCTTCCTCTGGAAAGAAGACACTGTTTGACTACTTCTGATGGGTGTTGGCCATGTCACTTTGTGCACTGCTGAGGCCATAGGGACTCCACAGTTAGCTGAGAAATAAAGAATAGGATAAATGATCTGGATTTCTAGGAGGTTAAGACTTCGGGTTATTTCATTACAGCCTGTAAATTAATGTCCTGTAAAAGGAGAAATCCTATTAATAGTGATCTTGTCCACAGGTGTTTTCAGAGAAAAAAATCCCACATACCTAGCTGTTCATTCACATATAGTTCACTGATCCTTGTGTCACAGGTGTGACTATTTCTGGAATTAATCTTTAAGATTCAGTGACAATGTTCTAGTATTCGTATTCAAGTTTGGCTTTTAGCCAGAAAATTAGTACGTTAAAACCCATATAAAATGCAGTGCTATGTTTGCTTGGGAAGGGGAGAAAAAAAAGGTTTACTTTTCATTTGTTTATAAGCACAACCAAGAAACCTAACTTTAACTTGATAATTCTTATTTTATGGATGAAGGTAGAAGATAATATTAGGGCAAAAGGCAGATGTCTTTTTCTTTCTTTCTTTGAAGCTTTATGTTCTTTGAATTACCTTTTCCTTTGGCTTAACAAATTTACTTAACCCTTTTTTTTATTGGGCAATTATAGTAATGAAGATCTGCAAAATTTGTTGCTAAATTGGAACAGCCTAGCAGGAAGGGGTCAGTCAGAATGAATTAAAATGATTTCATAGAGAGAACACAAAGCCTTTGTGTCCTAAGGAATGGCTGAGTAAATAGCGAATATTTGCTTGCTGAATAAAAAAGTAACACAAAACAGCCTTGAACGCACTCTAGCTCCCTTACATTCTCAGTATCAAATGCCAAGATGGATCCAGCCTCAAGGCATAGTTTTGAGTGTTCAAAGCTTCTCTGGATTTTGGTATTTAGTCTGGGTGTTCATTGGTTTACTATTCAGATTTTGTGCATAGATTTTGTGCTGTCACAAAGATTTCATTCCCCTCACTTTCCCTTCCCATTGCTAGAGACAGTTTGTGTCAGGACAGTGGGAAAATTATGGCCAAAGTTGAATGCTGTATCTCTAAAGTGTTTATCTTGCTTCCTACAGTTTCCTGTTTGTTTACTGTGGAACTGGAGGTGCTCCTGGACAGCCTCCAATGTCTGGAAGAAGCACTCTTTTAGTCCTTAAATAGGGATGGGTAGGAAGAACCAAAAGACATTACTAAGCAAGCCTCACTTTTAAAAAGTTAACCCACTTTTTATGAAATATAAGTGTGAGTAAATGCAGAATTTGAATTTAAGATAGTTTTGTTTGTTTTTTGTTTGTTTGTTTTGTTTTTTAAATGAGGAAAAGATATCAACTGATTAACTCTATAAATATTTAGAAATTGTCTGTATGATTTTTTCATTTAAGATGGGGATATTTTATATCGTAGTCTCTTATTTCCTAGCCTGTCACAGTTTACATATCCTGCAAACTTGAACAGACTCAAAAAAAGCTTCAAAACATCTGTGTTAGGTTCACTACTGAGTGATTCATAGAAGTGTTCAGACTACTGGGAGAGCCTGTGTACTTTTGAAAAACACTTTCTCTAAGTATAAGACCCTAATGCTAAGTCATAAAATAACAGTTCTGGAAGCATCTCTGCTCTGAAAAAGAAGTTTCTTACTACAACCATTAAGTTTTTTGAGGTCTGTGTGCATATATTTGAAATAACATAGTTAAAAAAATATTATACATAGCATGACTACATGTTAATAAAAAGGAATTATTATACATTTATGCATACTATATATACTTTATAAAGGGGAGGAATTTTTCTAATTATTCACGTGAAAGCCATCAAAAATGAGAAAATTTGAACATTGCTACATAAGCAAGATGTTAAGTAAAGTTTATGACCGGTCATGGTTTCCTGAGTGTTGATGAACATTTTATGTATCAAGTCTTCTACTGCATCTCTTAGGGAGGTGATACACAATTTTGTATTCCTCTCTGTCAAGATAGCCTCCCAGCATTTGGCTGGTGTTTTACAATGGGGTGAAACTATATGATCCCACTTTTAACAATATTACTTTCTCAGTTCATAATTATAAATATGGACTACAATGATGCCATCAAGCATGCATGAATTGTCTGGAATTCATTCTATCTCTTTCCATCATAGAATATGCAACTTAAATGCAAACCCAGTGCATTTTTATAGAAGTTTTCTTCTTGTCAGACATGAAATACCACTCATTCTCTCATTTTTGGCCACATTTCTAAAGTATCATTAATGATTAAATGACACTATTTACCTGGCATTAAAAAGTAAAATCAAAGAGCAGCACAATATGAATCTAGGGTTAACTTATACAGTACATTTCTCCAGGGATTTTTTTCAGTACTTTAATTGTCCACTGGAGAAGATTTACATCATTTAAGTGACATATAAGAACTGTGTTACACTGTATTTCTTACAGAAAATCTGTGCAAAGAAAAGCAAGACAAAAAGTGTAAATAAAACTTTCCAAATAGTATTGACAGCAGATTATATTTCACACTGTCTCTTTAACAAATATTTAGAGAACATTGAGGATACTTCTCTTTTATCATTTTACATTCTTTGCATTTAATTAACAGGCCTGAGATTGACATAAAAATAGAAATCATTGACTTGGGGGCACATAAAGCAGTTGTTATGTTGGCTTTCAATTCGATTATGTAAATATCAAAGCATAGATGTAAATGTTATTAAGGAACCTCCTCCAAAATTAAACATATTCACCAAAGCTCTAAATGTACTGAATATAGAACTAATCAGGAAAAATCACATCACCATCTTTTCTTTTTTGTTGTTGAAGAAACTTTAAAATTGCTGTGAACTTTTTAATATTTTTGAAATGAGTCATCGTTAGCTATTGAATTAAGTACAGAGGATTTATCTGTATTTGTTTTCTTGCAAATCATTTTACAATTATTATTACAGTAATCCTTACTAGTATTGCTGGTTTTTGCATATTTGTCAGCATGGTGCATTCCTCCAGAATTTGTCTATCTAAAAGTTTTTGAAGTTTTTTTTCTGACAGTGGCTAGTCAATGCAAAGATAGACTTTGCTATTTTCTCTTTATTTCTGGGATGAAAGACCATCTTTTACAATGTCAGCACTTAGATGTTCTTTCAACTGTTTTTCATCTTCATTATAGTTGTTTTTGAAATTATATTTTGTCATAACAGAACATATTCAGCTAAAATGAATCTAGATGGCATCTCTTACTGAGATTGTAAAGCCTAGGAAACATAAATGAGAATTAAGGCCAACATTTCCTTTTTCAGCTTTATAACAGTGTGTCAGTAACTGTACTGTCTCTAGTTGAATTGTCAAAACACCACACTCCAAACACAAAATTCTGTAATATGAAACTCCTGATCTTGAAATTATTTTGTTTCTCAACATATGCAATGTAAAATTAATCTAAACCTTTAATACATGAACTTACCTCTGCTTCCCTGAACTTGGAGAGCAAGGCAAATGATCAAAAATATTAATCCAGTTTTCAAATGCATGCTGTCTATTGATCATTCACAGTTTTCAAGACCAATCATGAAGGAAATAAGAATATTTCAGTCAAGTAGAAGAATTCTGTTTTCTTAACGAACTGAAATCCCCAAACGTCTTTTGTCTTATTATTTTTCAGGTGTCCCCAGCCTTGGACTGCATTGAATTGCAACTAGGCAGAGTGCAACAGGTGCCAGAATGCAAGAGCCGGGCAAGCCCCTTCAACACACACACTTCTAGCCTGGGGGACTGGAGTGGTAAGACAAGAGTGACGAAGTTTTAAAAAAAAGCAGTGTCTGTTTCTGGAATAATCTGTTTATCTGCTGCTCAGACATAATCCCTCTTACGGTCCAGCTGGAAGAGCTTTTTTCATCTTATTAACCTTCTGCAGTGGCATCTGTCAACCCCAGAAGACTTCAGCAACACCATGATAAACAACGGAAGTCTCTTCTAGTTCCCATTGCCTTCGAACATTGATCCTTTGGGCGCTCTGGAAGTATAGCATGTGAGCAGAGATGAAAGCATGGGGAATGCTAATTCTGCTGTTTCCAAACCAGTGATCACAAAACCCAGGGAACGTCCTTTGAAGAAGATAGCTTTTTCTGAAAGAACCTACTATGCTCTGCTCTTCCACTGCCTATGTCTTGGAATCCTCTCTCCTGTCTCATACCAAAAGGTTGCTGTTGCAATATTCCTGTAAGAGCAGTGATGATGATGTTCTGTGACAGTGATGTGATGTGATGACTCAGCAGTAAATTGCAGCAGTGTTCAGGGCTGGCAAACTCTGATGCCAAACTGTGAGTGGGGAAGGGAAAGTGCTGCATGGTGGGAGAAAAACAGAAAGTGCCGGGAAATGCTCTTTCAAGCACATAGCTCTAACCAGGCCAAGAACTGGCAGTGAGTAAATACACTTTTCAGACAGCTCTCCTCCAGTTTCCCAGATAACTATTCTGGTTACATATTTGGCATGTGTAAGTGGTCCATACTTATCCTTTTATTTTTCAAGACCTTTTTTATTGTTGCATCACAACTAAAAATGCTACCAGTTAGTCATTTCTGATGTTCTGTACCCCTTGGAGATTTTTGTGCAACTGTACTTTAACATAAGAAGTATCTGGACTGGCAGTAAGAATCTGTAAGAGCAAGTTACTCTAAGAACAACCTTCATTTGAACCCAATCAGTATTCTATTTTTACCTAGGATTTAAACAATGGTAACCTCCCTCCCTTCCCAAGATTGCCTGATTTTAACTACCCAGACCAGCTAGTACAGAGACTTGGCTGGGACCAAATGAGATCTTTTTTTTATTTTCACTTTTTTTTTTCATTTTTCTGGTGCTTCTTTTAATGTTTTATATATAACCTTTCATGCACATTGTTTTTTGTTCTAAGAAAACAAATAAAGAATATTTTGGCAGCAGTACAATGCAAAGCAACAGTGAAGATGATCAGGATTTCTACTGAAGAAAAATTTCATATTATATAAGGATCATTCTTTACCTCTACCAATATTTGTCTTTACATATTTTACATATAATAATCATATTGTATATAGTTTAATCATAGAAATAGAACTTGTATGAACCAGTTGAGCTTTAGCAAGAATTTATAAGCATGTTATAGTTTAAAGATGAAGCTCTCTCTTCTATGTTACCTTATTTTTAGTTATATGTTATCTTATTTTTTTAGTTTAGCTTTCAATCTGAAACACTAGTAATTGTAGAGAATTTTTCTCAGTGTGGTGGAATTTTCTGTTTCTGGTGACATCTGAAAATGCAGAATTGGTGAAAGTCAGATTATTTCCTCAGAGCACTCTGGGTACCAAACTCCATATGGAATTTGGTAGGAATGTGATCCTTTAATTCCATTAGGAATCTAATTTAAGCGTCAGACTGCATTTTGAAAATGTGCAATAAAGAGATTTACGTAATTACTGTAGAAACTGGTTACTGAAGCTTGGACCAGGAATCACAAATCCTATATCAAAGCTTAATTTGAAAACACATTTTTTGAGCCATTCACATGTTGGAGAAGATAAACATTTAATAACACATATTTCTGTCTTCAGAGAAAAAGGAACAGGAATAATCCTCGAATACAGCACTGTAGTTTAGTGTCTAGGTATAACTTGAGGAAAAGAGGTAAACTGTGATTAAAAATTTGTAGGGAAGGAGTCTGCGTACTTTAAGATTATGCTTAAGTCATGAATATTTCAAGCTGTTTTCTGTTAAGACAGTGTCTTCTATGTTTTGCCATTTAATTAAGAAATTTTGTAACTAACCTTGATAACTGCCACAGGGGAAGCAAACCAGAATGATAAACACTCATTAAAAGTAGAGCAATGTTATCTAGGGACCACTCCATCTCTAAGTACTGCAATGTTTAATTATAGGTCACTGTTAATTAATCTAGAAGTGTTTCTTCTTGTTGGTTTGCTGTCAACAATAATTATATATTGTTAAAAAGGTGATTAAAATATTCTACTGAAATTCAATAGTGCATAACAAATATACTACCACAAAGGGCAAAACTGGATGCTAAAATATCCATTCACCCAGGATAAGTACTTGTAAATGGGTTAAATAAGACTCAAAACTGGTCATCTCAGTGTATCTCTGCACATACCTAGAATAATACACTGATACGGTGTTTAGGTACAACTAAAGCTGTTTCCTTTGTTTGCAGAAAAGTGACCCTTTAGGCCTTCAAGGACTCTATTTGAAAGACCTTTGTTGTAAATTGTTAAGTCATTGTCACATAAAGATGACCTAGGAGTTGTTATGCACTGTGCTGCATTTTAGGTACCTTACCTAGGTGTGCATCTCTCAGGGTGCCAGCTAACTCATGTTACTGATAAAACAAAGTCAGATTCTATACCACCAGTCACAGATTATACCATCTCAGTTTGACTTTGGTTGTAGTTTTCCTGAGCAATTTCACCTCGTGGTTTACCCAATTGTTTTCTTTATAATGTTCATGGTGCACCTGAGAGGTGTATCCCACCTTAAGGAAGGGGAGTTATAAAAGTTTGAAATACATTTTAAATAGCCTCAAGTCTGTCTCTGGCATTCATTATTTCCATAAGAGCCAGATTGGTACTTAGCAGCCAAAGTACACCAGGCACAGCTTTAGACTTCTGATTAAAAGTGAAGAAACCTGAGTTCTTCTACTCCCTTCTTTGCTGTTTAGTTTGACCAAACCAAGCCCTGTTTCTTAGCTTCCATATCTGCAAATGGAGGGAATGATCTGGGAGAAATAGAAAAAACTCAATAGGAACAAACAAGGTGATACATGTAAGCAAGAATGACTTTTTCACCCTTTTCTCATGCATTAAAATGCAGATAAAATATTTCATAAAGTAATATTCTGAATTTTACAAATGTTTTATTTTTAGATATTTTAGATATTATATTTTAGATATTTGCATATCAAAGTTAGGCAGCAGCAGCCCTGTAATAGATTTAAAGATTTTGCCATGAAGAACAAAAATGTCTTTTGCTTTTAGAGCTTTTCTAGTTGGGCAGTATTTGTATTTTGCCCTCTATTACTACCCAACTACCATGTTTTTATTTTCTTACTGAACTAATACCAGATTTATATTTATTCAGTAAATGAAGTAAAAAAAACCAAACAAAAAACAAAACAAAACAAAACAAAAAAACAAAAACAAAAAAACAAACAACAAAAAAAACCAAACAAAAAACCCCACACATATCTCTCAGGTCAGGTAAAAAATACCTATATTTTGTTTACTGGGGTTTTTCATGTTTCATTGACAATACCTTAAGAGCACGGAACAAATATGATCACATCAGGAAAAGCCAGTTTGAAACTAAGCTAAATATTTTCTCCCTGAAAGAACAGATTGGCGTCCAGACCGAGTGCTTGCAAATGTTCTTATTTTTTCAAACAAATTGTTCTTTAAAACCCATTTCTTCTGGAAATTCTTACATTCTTCCTTCAAAACTGAACTCAGCCAGTATATCCTGGAAGAGTGCCATACAACTTACTTTGCTGATGGCCATAGATTGTGACAGCATTGGGCTAGTGCACTACATTTCTACTGGGGTGTCATTAAAATAACAGTGTTAAAAGTGATATGCATGCAGGTAAACCCAGATGACCAAAGCATGGCTAAGGTATTAAGGAAAAGTTTATTCCGAAGTTGGAAACCCTAAATACACTACTGCAAAATCATGCAGTGGGCAAAAGAGCATCATGGGGGCTGTTCCTGGCCTCTACATCACAACAGGCCCGGCATGTGCGCGTTACCTCAAGGTTGTGCTCTCCCCTGGGCTTTATGGTCTCCCTCCCTTCCAGCAGGGCCCTCAGGCATATCTGTGAGAAGGTGTTATCTCTACACGGGAATCCTACTTCTCAAAACAGGCAGAGGATAAACATCAGTAGGTGTAAGAAATGGGATTTCCCCCACTGATTTTTCCCAGGCCTCACATTGCCAGCTGCAAAAGTCTCTTGAGTTTAAACCTACTGCCTCCTCACCATATCTTTTGCTTTTGACCCTTTCATCCCAACAGTAGTAATGCAGAAAATGCTGTGAAAAGGAAGATATTTTTTAGTCTGACTAAATGCCAGAAGTGGAATAATTGTTTGGTTTAGAGTAAAGCTGTAAATTTGAATTACAAGAAATAGCCAATAACAGATTCAAGAGTTTAAAAGAAACTCAGAGGTTAAGATTCTGAGTTGCTGACTGTGCCACTGAGTGCTTACGTCAGCCTCTATATCAAAGAAAGTTTTCAGAAAGGTTGTGGCACAAAGCTGGAGAATTGTGCTTCAGCATGTCTGACTTCTGTACTGGGGAGATGGATAAAAAACATAATAAAATAAATAAACACGCTAACAAGAATGATTTAGCTGATACAATGTCCTTGGTCACCCAACTGTTTTTCATGAGTCTGCTCTTAAACCAGTTAAGCTGTTGTGGAGTAAAAAGGAAGACCATCTGTATTAATAGCTTGCTAAAAAATGACAAATACAGGAAAAAATCAAGCATTTCAAAGGTGTTCCCAGTCAAAGGTTTTATGCTGGAAGGTGGAGCAAATGATAAGGCAACAAAATCTGCTGATGTTGCATAATTGCTCAAAGTCTGTAAGATTTATAATAATAGTGAACAGATGCAGACCTATCTCCTGGCT